TTTCAACTTTTCTGGCTGCCGCATCCACTTCTCCCTTCTGCTAGTAATTAATTAAGTCTCTAATATACCAACCACTATTATGATTTAATAATAACTCAATAACGAAAACTACCGTGATTCAATAATAACAACGCATTTTTATGATTTATTGGTAACCACTGTAGTTTAAAAGGGTTATCAGATAAATTACATTTATGATTAGAGGTCGAGTCTTACCATGAGTAAGATACTAACTTAATTCTTAATTTTTAATTATTATCCTTACTTATTTAAAAAAAACTACTTTAAAAAATATAGTAGCATTTAAAATGTGATAGTATTTAAAAATTTAAAATTTAACTCTTAATAATTTTAATTTTTATCTTTATTTTTTAATTATATAAAAATATAAAAATCAAGACATTTTGATATTCAGGACATTTATCATAATTATTCATAAATAAACCATTAATTTTTTAACTAATACAATTAAGAAAATTTTAAAAATTAAGACGTCTGTTACAATAATTTCATAAGTGAATCCTATGTCTAAAATTCACTCTAACAGATGATTATGATAAATGTTACGAGGTAGAAACGTACTAATTTTCAAGATTCTCTTAATTGTATTAGTTAAAAAAATACTAATTTTCATGACTCTCTTAATTGTATTAGTTAAAAAATTAAGTCTATAATAGAGTACAAGACTAGACAAAAAAAAGTACAAGCACAAGCACCACATGAGTTGTCAAGTCAGTCCTGCCACCACCAACCATCTCTTCACAGCCTTTTTCCAGGAAGTGGTCTTCTCTTCCCCATGTCTGCATCTTTACAATGGTGCAGCATTATCTCGTCTTCCTTTTCCATGTCTATTCTTCCATTTAATTGTGGTCCCTTCCTCCTCCCCTTTTTTTTTTTTTAATATTTTTAATTCTAATTTCTCAGTAGACTATATATGGTAAGATATAAAATTTTATTTTTTCAACTACAATATATTAGATTGAGTTTTTTTTATTTTATATTTAAATTATATTAAATTATAAAATATTATATAATTTAATATAATTTAAATAATATAATTTTTTATATCAACGCAATCTCTCGTGACATGAAAGCTTGTCCAATAGCTTTCCCTATTTGTCTCGTGCGCTATATGTTAGATAAAATTGATTCTTCCTAAATTTTTAATTTTTAAATATTTTGTCTTTTAATTATTTTTTTTTATATTTTTTAGTTTTTAAATTGTAAAAAATATATTTTTAATTATTTTATCAATTAATCTATTAAATTTATCTAAATACATATTTATAATCATTAAACTTTTAATATATACATATTTTAAATAACATATATATTTAGATAAATTTAACAAATTAATTCTCAAAAATTTAAAAAATAAAACATTTTTTATAGTTCAAAACCAAAATATACAAAAAAAAAATTGAGAATCTAAAAACGTTTAAATTGAAAGTACAAGGACAAGAATTAGCATTCAACCCATATGTTATGATGGAGGAGAGTAGAATGTGTCTGATTAAGAATCCAATGCAGCTGAGTTGAGTTCAGCCAAGTTGACACCACTTGAGTTTAGGCAATGAATAAAATTTCAGTATTGACTAATACAGCTCAAAGCAATAGACTAATTGGCTTGTTACTGCTATCTATAAGGTTTTCCCTGACTGTGTATCAGAATACAAATAGGATAGCTGAGTTGACCCGTGAAGCCATGTTAAAGGAGTCTTAAATCTGCAAATTCATTGTAGGTAGCATGTGCCAAGTGAATCCTTAATTTTGAAATGCTTCAATGATATAGATCGCAGGTAGACTGTCAACCTAAGAATTCTCAGTTGGTGCAGCATTGGTTTCTGATGGTCCAACCATTTCTTGGAAGCTATCCATGTCTGTGCTTATATTGTGATTGATATTGGCCTCCTCTACCTCTGTCATTACTTCATCCCTGTCTCCTGTGGCTTCAACCCCATTTGGCATCGAGTTGGACAGTGTTGGTGGTGGTGGTTCTTCACTTGCTTTGTCTTGTTCATTGGAATTTGGCATTGTTGTTTGTGGGTATGCATCAGTGCAGACTGTTATCGTTGAGGTTACCAGCAAATTCTACAAGATGAGAAGGGATGATAGTCTTGCTTAGCATCAAAGAGAAGGAAGGGAGCAAAGTAGAAGAAAAAAGAGACTTTGTGCTTCTATCAAATATTTTTACTTGAAATTTGCCTTTCTGGTTTTCATCTAACAATCCATCAATTATTGGTCAAGGCAGATCAAGATGATGTTATGGAGACCCCTGACATGTATACGCTAAACATGAAACAATGCATGTGTATGATAAGGTTAAAGCATGGCTGGTTCTGTTTTACTCTGACAAACTACTTATTCAGCAACCAAACAAGAAAGGATGAGGGGAGGGAAACCATGAATCACAAATACATGAAGCAATTTGTTCCTTAGTGCACCAACAAAATCTCCATCCTAGTGAAGCTAAGGAGTGCAAGAAAAAGCAGTCAATTCAAGAGCAAAATAGAACACATTTCAACTTTCAGGGATGCCAACTGAATGATAAAAATTTCACCTTCCCCTAACTTCCCCAGTGTTCAAAATAATAATAATCTTCTTGATGTTTTTATTGCCATACCTTTTCTAGTGCTAGAGCAAGCTTTGAGAGATTTGGATAGATGCTTCTTGCAGCTAATAAAATCTGTTCAGGACAAAATTAGTACATGGGAATGAATTTAAGGAACAATGATTAGCACAAGTAAATATAGAATACCATGTTACAAATGGCATTAGAATTTTTTAGTTACAAACAAACATACATAGTGTCTATCTCATCAGTAGATAACTAATCTAAGATCATCTCAAACAATTATAAATTCTAAGATGAAAAGCGTCAGAGCCATTTGAGAAACGAGCTCACAAATTAACATGGACTAGTACTAAACTATATTGCAGGCAATTCATGAAGAAATTACCTCACAGATTCTCTGAAGTGTAAAGGGGGGGCCTTGAATAAAAGCTCGTAGCTCTGCAGAGCAGGAAAAGTGTGTCAAAGATTGCATAAGAGGAACAAAGAGTTCACAAAAAATCATAAAGCATGAAAGAAAAGAAATTAAAGGTAAACTATAGAATCATCTTACATTGTTCTTTCAATTACCCGTTAATAAATTTTGAAAACCAACATTTTCCCACTAATTATCCTAAAATTTGTAAATTATTTTACACTTAACTATTCTATCAGAAGATTTGTGTTTGATTTTACTGCATATGACAAAATGTGAGTTTTAAGAAAAATGATGACTGCGATATGTTGAATGAGAAGATTTAATCAATTTGCCCATAATTTACAATTCAAGAATTTGGCTTCACATGATTAGCTAGGCCTTCTAAGACTTCCATCAATAAAGAACAAAAAATTTTACCAAACTCAATGAATAACTCAACTTTCAATGAGGTTTATGCTTTCCAGCTTCCCTCCTGTAATTTATAATCATTTCCTTTGTACTGCATTTTCTTATCCTTTCTTTTTCTGTTGGCAGGTCTTTATGCAGATATTTACTAGCAGTCACAGTGAAGAGCATTTGGACCTCAATGTATCTCCAGGCATCCTAATATTTTCTTTTTCTCTCCTTTTCCACACAATATTTTTTCATTTATGAAGATCAAATAGACAAATATTCCACAGAATTGAAGTCAACTTTCATACAAGACTTCTGATTTCCTTCTTTCCCCTGTAATTTACAATCTATTCCATTCTACCATTTTTAATTCTTTGATTTCTTTCTTCTCTTGCTAGCAGCTTATTTTAACCTCCTACAATTGCAATATCACATAGATTCTTTGACCATCCATTTACCCACTTTCATTACAGACAACTAAGAAAAGCAACATATCATTTGGAGAGTACCTTCATCCAATCGTTTCACAAGATGTGGGAAAGTTTCTCCTAATGAGGCATTTTGCTGCTCTGTAGCCATTTTTGACTCAGGATACTCTAACAAAACCTTCATAATTAATTAGAAGTAGAACAAAAATAAGGACAATCTTGATAATCCCCAACAAAAGAATAAGAATGTTATAATAAGACAGGGACCACAACAGAGCCAGCAGTTAAGTTACTAACCAAGCACTAAAAACGTGGACATAAGAAATCAATTTTACCAAAATGAATTACAAGTGGCTATTGTGAAAAACCAGAAACCTATATACCTGCTTCAGCTGAAAGGATAGCATATTCTTCAGTTTGTCCCAATCCAGCCTGCATTAGAGTAGCAAGTAATTCTATCCATATATACATTCAAAATTTATTTATTTATTTTTTTCTATCTTTCTTATTATAATAACAAGATTATAAGCAACAAACAAGTGAATCGCAAGTGACATGATGCTCATGGTTAATAGGAAATATGAAGTGGCCCAAGGTCATGATACACAGGTCAGGCCAAAATTATGAGATCACTAGGAAAAATCTTTAATTGTTGGGAAGCTTTCCAAATGCCAACCCATTTTAACCCATACTCGAGCAATTAGAATACATTTAGAAGCCCAGTTGAATGATTCATTATTTATTATAAACCAAACAATATGATCTCTTCAGGACCAGCTGGTTGCAAAGTGGTAATGCTAATAATAGGCAAGTGGGTAACGCTAGCAGTATGGTATACGGCTCATCATAAAGACAATTTTAGTGTTAACAAAATGCATACCAAAATTTTCCAGTGGAGGAGGTAACTTCTAATGCACCTCTAACTTCCTCTTCAACAAACTCGGGTGTGGGTTCCATGGTACTGAAATCACAGGTGAATACTCAGAACACTAAAGAAGAAAGAAACACCTTTTGGTATAAACACAGTTCTTTTGTAAGAAGAATTAGCAGTATGGCAACAAACTAAATGTAGAAGGAACTACTTTCAAATCCAGAGGTAAAGATTAAAGATGGGAAGAAGCAAAGAAGAAAACTTTATCACGGTTACCCTTTACAAGCAAGTAATAAAAGAAGGGAAAATGGGGTACATTTACACTAGTTTGTTGTTTCATCTGCTATTCATGCTTAGATTCCGAATGCAAAGAAAACGATTAACCCAGCTGCAGCTGCTAGCTAAAACCAAAAGCGTAAACCGCCGGCGATCAAGTTTCAATGCAATTGCTTACTTACCTTTGAAACATACAGCAGGGGCTGCCTTGGTGGCGGAGCAGCTTCCGGTTGAGGGGATGGGGAATGAGCCGGAGGCGAGGCGGCACTCAGAATTTTGGAAACTAGAGTGCGGGCCCATGAAAAAAGTGTATTTACTCATAAATTTTTTCCTCTTAGTTTTCCTTATTTTCCAGATATGAATGGTTTTTATTAATCATTTTAAATGAAACTATAATTATTATTAGAATTAATTAATTTAATAACATAATATATATTAATGATACTAAATTTTCATTCTTTCCATCATTACTCTTAATTTATTATCCCCTGCCGATTTTAGACCTTCGAATTCTTCGAACGGTGTGATGGCAAAGCGCAAACATCCCATATAGAATGAACCATATGTAGTTTCATGACTTATCTCTCTTTAAAGGTTTATTTTATTCTTCTTCTATTATGAGAGAAGGGATCAAAATTAACATTCTAAGGGAAATGCAAAGAAGAAGAAGAATAAGAAGAAGAAAAAAAAGTAATAGAGCAAAACAAAAGTCGGCTGAATTTTATAATTTATGAG